TGAATCGAAAAATATATTATAATGCGCTATGGTTACAAGTCCTTTTAGGTGAAGAGGAGGAGGAAAATTCAAGTGATGAAGAAGAAAACATGGTTTTACGAACTGCTTTAATACAACGATTAAACACACGATATTTAAAGCCTCGTATATATAATGTAGCTAAATCAAAACACTGGTGGCTAGAAGTTCTTCCATCATATGATCCTAATAGATTCAAAAAAATCTTAAGAATGTTTCCACATAATTTCTTACAATTATCTAATCTGATACGTTTTCATCCTGTATTTTTATCACAAGGAACAAAACCTCAAGTTTGTATTGAACTTCAGTTAGCTGTATTTCTTTGTAGACTTGGTTCTACTGGGAGTTTATTTGGAGTTTGTTCAAGATTTGGATTAGGAGAAGGAACAGTAATTCTTTACACCAAACGAGTTATTCAAGCAATTTTAACACAAAAAAACACTTTTCTTAAATGGCCTACTTTAGAGGAGCGTAGAAAAGTTAATAAAGGTTTTGAAAATTTAGGAGGATTAAAAAATGTAATTGGGGCTATTGATGGAACACATATCCTTATGAAAAATGCACCAAGTAAAGATTCAGAAGTTTATTTTACTCGAAAAAAACGGTATGCTATTCATTGTCAAGGTATTGTAAATTACAGAGGAATTTTTATTAGTTTTGATGTAGGTTGGCCTGGTTCTGTTCATGATGCTCGAGTATATAGAAATTCTTCTTTTTATAAAAACTATTCTAACCTTATTCAAGAAGATGATTACCTTTTAGGTGATTCTGCATATCCTATTTCTCCTTTTTTAATTCCTCCTTTCAAAGATCCAAATTCTCAAAGACACAAAGATTTTAATCAATTTCATTCAAGTCATCGAGTTGTAGTAGAAAATGCTTTTGGTAGATTAAAGGCAAGATTTGGAGTTCTAAGGGATCTTGATATTAAAACAGTTAAAATGGGGATTTTATTTACAAGTTGTGCAATAATTTTACACAATTTCTTAGAAATTAATAATGACATTTG